AAAATAGATTAGTTTTTATACTCATAATGAAGTTTATTATTTAAATATTTAAAGGAATGAAGATATCATAGAAACTCTTACTATTAGACATCAATAATATGAACCCAACTTTGTAATTAGAGATTAGTGACCTCTAATTACAAAGTTTAACGAGTAAAAACTATATATTTGTTAAGTAATAGTAAAATTTATTTAAATTTTAGAATCTAGTGTGATCCATTATGTGAAAATATATTAGTTTTTATACTTATAATGGAGTTTATTATTTAAATATTTAAAGCAATGAAGATATCATAGAAACTCTATTTATATAAATATAAAAGTGGTGTCGCTTCAACAAGAAGAATTGAAGCCTCTCTTGTTAATATTTTTAAATAAGATAAGTACATAACCATAATTACTGTTAAAGCGGGTATAAACCTTTGACAAAAGATTAAGTATTATGTGTGTTATATCTTCAATTTTAATACTAAAAGTTGAGGTTTAATATGTAGAGAACATCAATTTCATTGGAATTCAAACACATATATGTTAATTGAATATTTAAATTAAGAGAAATCTTCTTATATTCATAATATTTATTTGTGGGAAATATTAAAGATTAAGCACTAACATCCCAAACTAGTGAATGATTGTTGGTAATTTAAAATGTGATGCATCTCATATTTGATAGAAATATTTAATTATTGGTGAATATACTTAATTTTCGTATTAATTTTATTCATATTTTAAATAATGATATTTGAACAGAAATAATTATTATATTATAAATAGTCATAATTATTTGAATATAAATAGATAATTGTTCATATAAATTATGATTGTACAAATAATCATAATTATTTGAATAAAAATTTGTCTATTCATTTATTATAAATAAAATTTTCAGTATAACTATTTTTATTACTTTTACTTAGAAAGTTTTGAGATTTTATTATATCATAAAAACATAATTATCTTTTAAAAAAATTTTCTTTTATGTTTCAAAGTCAAAATTTATTATTTTCTTTCTCTACTCTTATTTATTTTTCTAACAGCAGTGCAGGTTGTCTAGCTTGTCGTGGAAATCCTATCAATGGAATCTACAAGAATGGTTCTAGCAGCAGCCACTTCACTCCTGATGACTCCGGTGTTTCTATCATAATACCTAGCCATAGCTTTCATGTATTCTTTGAATGCTTGAGTAATTTATTCCATTTTTTTCGAAAAATCTGTCGTTAATGTGGTTTCAAGACCTGTTGGTCAATCCACTAGAAATGCGTTCCCGTGGTGGAGGATCATTGGTCACGTCAGTTATGGAAACTTCCAGCTCGAGAATCATAACAGGGTTTCCCGTGTTCTTCATTGACATTTCCAATTTTGATCGCACTAGGCGTGCCAAATGAAGATGTTGAAGCAATCTTTAACCACACGATATCAACCAGGTGTGTCAATTAGTTTTGAACTTCAAACTAACAAAGTTTTCAAAATGTGATCTTAGTGACCTTTGCCCTTTGAAGTGAGTCAACTGGTTAAGATTGGATCAAAGGACACCAATTTACAATTTCAGGTTAAGAAAGATGATTGCATTTATATGGGTCCTTTCGAAGCTACGAACAGATTGCTTAAAACATCACCTGTAAAGAATTGGAAATGCGAGAAACAACTTGGAAATAAAAAAAAATATAAATCAATTGTAAATGGAATTAAAAGAAAGCAAGATGACAGAAAAACTTATTGAATTGAGACCCTGGATTGTAATGAATTTAAACAAACTTGATGAAACTTGTTTGCCAAAAAGTAAATTTTTGATTGCTTTGAATGCTTTGAGGCTTACAGTCACCAAACTTAATGTCTAAATGCTAATATCAAAGGGAATGCTCTCGAAGAGCTTTGGAGAAAATCGGAAAAACTTAAGAGAAGTAGAAATGAGCTGAATTGAGTATAGCGTTGGGTTGATTTGGATTGTGTAGTTAAGTTAATGGCTGTTTCCTCCATTTATTGGGCTTCCCTAAGAGTTGTAATTCCAGTGCCTTCCTAAGTGACGGCTAGTGGAAGTCCGTTTGCTACTTGCAGGTATTGGCTGAAGGAGTCCATTTGCTATTTGCTTTCTCTTGCCAACCAACTCTGCCATATGCCTTCCAATTATTGGCCCAAAACGAACTAAATTCTGCTGATTCAGACTGAATCGCTTTCGTCAACTTGAACTATCCTTAATAGCTGACTAGGATGAAATATGCCAGTTGTCATCTGTTAGTTGGCCTAAAATCTTTGACTTGGCCAAAAATATCCATCTAATTAATTGACCACAAAATAAAAACTCCAATTGGTTGCCTTTGAATTAAACAGGTCATACGTATTTATTTGATTGGATAACCAATGGCCATTTGATCTGTTTGCTATTTCACCTTTGTTTTGCCACGTATCTTTTTCCTTATTGCCAGTATATTTATAATATAAACATTTGTAATTCCATAAACCATTAAGCTAGCAAGGCTGCAAATTAGACTGTCGAGCATAAAAAAACAAATCTTTATGATTATTTAATTTGTAATCCAGTTTTGTAGTGATTGTTCTCCATGTAGTGGAATTGTTAACTCAATTACTTACTTAAATAGGACTTAACTGATTACTTTGTTATTTCTTTCACGATAATATTTTTAATTATAATGTTTAAAGTACTTAAAAAAAATTGGATCGCAACTTATATTTGCATAATTTCATAATGAAATTAGTTTGTTATCCATATGATGCAAAGATTAATTTTATTTTATTTAAATTTAAATAAAAATAAAAATTAATATTATTAAATTATTTATATATTCAAAATATATGTAACATATAAACAATATAATTAAAATATCAAATCATAATACAAGTAAAGTTTTTTTTTTTTTAATTCTGCTGAAAGCTATAAGAAATTCTCTGTTTCATAATTGTAGAATTATTATAGGATTCATATATTCTTTTTAAAGTATCTTGATGAAATTTTTTATGGTTCTAAGATTTTTTTAAACTAAGATATAAAAAAAAACTTGAAATTAATACTACTGATAAAACTATCCCTTAATTATTTCTTTTCAATTTTATTTTTTATGAAAAATAATCTTCTGATTTAAAATTATGTTACATGTTTCAATTTTATTTTTTAATGAAAAATAATCTCCTGATTTGAAATTCTATTATATGTTTCTCATCGAGGGTCTGAGTATTATTTACTCTTTGAATGTACAATTGGCACATAAATTTTAATTTATGACACATAACTCTATTATATCAATTAATCAAAGCATTATTTGTATTTTATTCAAATAAAAAATATTGAATAAATAATCAATTAAAAGATAAAATATATTATCTGATCGAACAAAAAATCTATTAAAAAATAAAAGGTCTACAAACCGATAAAAATATAAAAATATATGGGTTTTTGTAGTTTTTAAAATATATATTACAACTAAAAAAAAATATTACACTTGATTTGAAAAAACAAAAATCCTACATGATGGAATGAATAGTATTTAGTCAAATAGTACATAGAGTGAATAGTATGTTTAATGAAATAATATCTATTATAAAAAAAAGCATGTTAGTTCCTATAGTAAGAATAAACTAATAAAAATAGAGACAAAATTAATAGTAGGAAAAAATATATTTAGCTCAGTGGGACATTGAGAAAGTTATATAACTAAGAATTATCAACAATGAGGGTTTTTCTAAAGTTGTTCTAGTATTTATATTTTTTTTCATATTTTCTTTGTGAAATATATTTAAAAATTAAAGATAATGTAAAAATTATTTATAAAAATTATGATAAATTTAAATATTCAAATTAACTGCAAATAAATTAGAAAAGATAACTTACTTTAAAATTGGTTTTAAATTGAGATGAGGTGATGTACATGAGAAATTTGATATATAAGATAAACTTTCCTAAAGTTGTTTTGGTATTTATATTTTTTTTCACATTTTTTTGTGAAATATATTTAAAAGTTAAAGATAATGTAAAGATTATTTATAAAAAAAAATTAAAGATATTAAATAATATTTTTAAAAATTATGATAAATTTAAATATTCATGTTAATTACGGATAAATTGAAAAAGATAAATTACTTTAAAATTGATTTTAAATTAAGATGAGATGATATATAAGAAAAACTTTTCTGACGTTGTTCTAGTATTTATATATATATATATATATATTACATTTTTTTCGTGAAATATATTTAAAAAATGAAGATAATTCAAGGATTATTTATACAAAAATATTAAAGATATTAAAATATTTTTAAAAATTGTGATAATTTCAGATAAATTGAAAAAAATAAATTACTTTAAAATTGATTTTAAATTGAGATAAGGTGATGTATAGAAGAAAGAAATTTAATTAAAATTTAAATTGATTTTTTATTAAATTTTAAAATTTTTGATAATTTAATAATTTTTATAATATATTTTTTATAAATAATTTAAAATAAATAAATATCTTATATATCATCATAATAAAAATTTTATAAATTATTTTACGTGTCAGAAAAAAAACAGTTCATGTAAACATCCACATTAGCAATTATTATTTAATAACTATGTATGTTATAATATATATATATATATATATATATATATATATATATATATATATATATACACATGAGTTAACGCTCTAATATGATAAAAATAAATTCGTCTAAATTGTCATTATCATCAAGCCAACGAAATTAAACTCATATAATTAAAAAAAAATTATGAGAGATTACATCATGTTTTTTTTCTTTCTCTTTTTTTTTTTTAATTTATAGAAAGACCTGCTTTTTGAAAAAAAAAAAGTCATATGCCAAATACTAAATCAAAATCAAATACTTGAGTTAAATGAACATTTAGATTGTAAAAGAATATGATAGTTTCTTTTCTAATGAACAAATAAGCATCACTTTCAAATTGCCAATATCAATATACAGTACACCTTTAAAGAGAAAAATGAAGCGCAAGGACATTCTTAAAGAACTATGAGGGAAAGTAATGAACAAACCTTTCTTTTAAATATGGAAGATATGGAATTGAATTCTACATTTACAGGGGCTACATGCATATTCAGTAATATATATTTATAGCAGCTGTACATTATCAACACTTTTGGATGAATGTGAGGCAGCAAGGAGAGCTGCTCCGGTCCCTGATCCATCTTCCGTGACCTTAAGAATTACATGCTGCGCGATATCTTCTCCCAGTATTTCATGCAAGGCTTCATGCAAGTACTCCCTGAACATTGTGTATTGTGTGTATAAACTTCCCTCAATTGCCACAACCGTTCTTCTCATCTTGGTATCGCTTCTAGTTCTTCCCACCCTGATGCAACCGCTTCCATCCCGGCCGATCTTCTTCAAGATCCCAACGATACCAGCGGCTGCCAATCTAGCAGCCCTCCGGGCTACCACATCACATACCTTCACAACAAGCTTCCTTGCCTTCAAGGGAAGATCTGGAATCTGCAAAGCTAAATGTCAACCTAACAATCCACTGAGGTCATGGCCAGAGACTGACAAGGAGGGAGTTAATGTTGGACTCAATTACCTTGAGATCATCTTTTAAGATTCTCGCCACTTTTGTCAACTCAGGGGAGTCATCTTCATGCATTGCAGCCATTAAAGGCGTCCTGAAGTTGGATATTGAAATGGGTAACTTGCATATCAGAGATTTAGAAAAGATATAACTTATGCGATGTGCCGGGAAGTAAAAACAAGTAAGACCATTTTACTCCTTTAACTAGTGCAATTTGTTTATCCATATATAGTCATGAACCATAGAAGTAATAATACTTGCAGCAAGGTTTTTATGAAGAAATAAGGTTACCCATCACTTAAAACCTCAATTATGAATGTTAATAATAATGGAAATCAGGAAAGGGAAACAAAGAAAACAACTGTCAGCCATCTAGAAAAAAAAAAAAAAAAAACTAAAAGAACATTTCCATACTCTTAAACATGATAGAAACCTAGTTAAAAGAAGGAAATTAAAATATTACATAGATGCATACCCTAAGGCAAAGGGCACTGATAAACTGGAAAAAACAGGTCCGAAAACATCGGACTCCTGTGACATCCTTAGAATGACTCTCCTAACAATGTCACCAAGATACATGCCTGATATCATTTTCTCAAAACCCTGCAGCAAATTATAAGAAATCAGATCTGGTCCTTCATTATTATCTACTAAGAAAAAGGTATAGTTAAACCTAATCCTACCTGGTCATTGGGATTTGGACTCTCAGCATCTAATTCAATATCATACGAAGTTCTTGGCATATGAGATGACCAAAAATTACCCCATTCCATGTTGACAACCTAGTCGTTAGACAAATAAAATAATTGAAAACTGATGGATGTGAATTAACTACTTCCTCATATAAAGTAAAATAAAGGCCATATGCAAGAGAAACAAACGATACCATGCCTCCAGAAGTTGTAAGAAGTCCTTGGCACTTGATGATAGCATCCGTCCGCTCCCAATAGCAGGCATTTGTACCTGTTCCAATTATCACTGCAGCAACAGTGTCTGCATCATGATAATGTCCAAGCGCTAATGTTCCAACTGTATTGTTCACCTGCTTAAACAATCCATTAAATTTATCCAAACATGAAACTAAAATTAAGTATGAAGATATGTCCACATATATACTTGCAATTTGGGTTAGGAATGCCACCTCAGTTTATTACTTTTCTCATGAGCCATGACATCATTATATTATAAAATATCTGCTGAATGATGAAGACACATCTGTTTATTTTTAAACATGCCATAGCAACTACCAAACAAAACACACAATAAGAGGAAAATAAAGAATCTTTAACCATGACTCTCATTGAGAATAGACATTAATTACATGTGAAAATTAAGGAACTTAAAAAGTTAAAATGGCTTTCAAGTGTTACCTGTAGACTAATTAACATTCTATGTATTCTATTTATTAGCACAAACACTAGAACAGACAACCCTTCGAAGAAATTCCTCAAATTTATAATGAACTACTTAGATAATGATTTTAACATCATCATTTAGTTATGGACATTAACTCGAAAGTAACTAATTTCTGTTAATGAACAATCCACTACAAAAATGCTGCTTACCTTTTATTGAACTAACAAAATCATTTACATCCAAAATTATTACAATATTTATCAATATACTCATTAAAATTATCAATATATTTTTGTGCAATTGGAAGTAAAAAAAATTTACCTCTAGCTACTATGATTAGTATCATTTTCCCAAAGGATGTAGAAAAGACATCAGAGTTCACCATATATTGATCAAAGTTATCATACAAGTTATCATACAGTGATGTAACTGGCAGTAACAAAAACTTAAATTTTAGAAAGACAGTGGACAATAGAAAAAACACAGCAATCATTATTATTTTCCGAAAAAGATGTAGAGAAGACATCTGAATTTCTAAACAGTTTTATGAATTATGAGTCATTAGACCACTATATTGAAAATTTTAGTATCTTACTTGACCTATTGTGATGCATTTAGGGGATACTAGCCAGGTCATTAACCTCCTTTAATTTGACATAAACACATTAAAAGTATCTAAGAAGCCAGATATTCACTGAATTTGCCATGCCCATGAACCAAAATCCACTATGTCTTTATCAATAGGCTGTAAATTATGCGTACAACCAGGTCATTGAAACTGCTAAAGATACAGAACTAAATTCATTTATTTCTTGCTTCATTCAATCTTCCATTGCAACAGCAAACTGCATAAACCAGTAAAAAAGAAAAAAAGAAAAACCCTGCACAATGAGTACAAGATGCAAAACTTTCATCCAAGCAATTTCTTATACAGTATACTAAAAGCATGCCTACAGTATGAACAAGACATCAGAAATATAACCAAGCATTCTGCCATTCTTTATTTCTCAGAAGTTCCTTAAATTAAGAAAACAAAAAAGTAAACCTACAATGTAGATTTAGAGCTCACCAGCACAGCAACTTGCATATTTAGACCTTTCCTAGCCAGTGTTTGTTGTAAAACTCCAGCAACCTCTTTTCCAACCTACAATCATTTGTGCCACATATTTAACAAAATATTAGGTTTTCCATAAATTAAAATATAACTTCCAACAATTACAGAGATTCTATAAGAATCATAAACAACTGCTAGTTGAGAAATTTAAGCCTTTACATAAAGCAATATGATGCACCAAGCCTTTGGGCTCAAATTATTATTTTATAAATAAACAGGAATTACTAGGTGACACAAAGTTTCCTTTTATTCTAGCAGTTGCACTAATATTCAAATATGAAACTAACCATGTCTGTGATTGCAAATCCTTTTGTCCACTTGATTAAAATCCCCGACGAAACAGATGTTTGTTTCACAGGAAAAGAGAATGTAAATCCAAGTTCTTTTATAATTGGAGATTGCTCAGAATCATTTCCTTTTTCAACAAGATGCTGTAATGATGAAGCTATAAAATCAAAAAGATCCTGCATGAAAGAGACATATGTTAATAACTTCAATTAAAATCAGTAAATAATAAGATTCCATATGTTTGGAAAGGATTGGCAAGTCAGAAACTTAGTTACCTCACTTCTACCAGTCATCAACCGCGGGGGAATGGCTTGTTGTGCTACATCTCGATCAAAAGAGGATCTTTGACCTCCTAGTTCAACCCGTAAGACCCTAAAATTAGTACCTCCAAGATCTAGACCATAAAAAGTTCCTTTCTCACTCCTGATAAAAATAATAAATATTTATTTTACTAACATAAGCTATGTAAGAAGGAAAAAAAGTAAATATACATAAGAACATGACTGGACAATAATATCATTCACAAGCCTAAGCTAAAAGCCAAAATAAAATTAACCACAGAGCAAACATCTCCCATACAAATCCTGTTAAGGGCAAATCATTACCAAACCAAAATATAACATATACCTAAAATCCCATGCTGAATCAGAAGTTTCAAATTTTAACCACAGACCACATTTGCTATAGGAACCAATAGATTCAATCCATTATTGTAGTTTAAAAACAATAATACCTCAAATAGTTCTTATACACCTATGTGCCAGTAATGGGGTATAGAAGCAGAAGCCAGCAAGATTCTATGAACTAAATATATTAAGTTTAAAGAAGAAAATTAGATTACCTACTCATAGTAGTGGAATGGTCATGCAAAAACAACGTATAACACTATCTCAATATTATTAAACTTCATGAGATACCCATTACAGAAACCATGTATTGTCAATACTCCATTAGAAAGAATAAACATAAGAAAACGCAAAAAAAAAAAAAAAAGTGCATAATATATCACAAGAAAAAACAAATGAAAAGCAAAAAGAAAGAACAAACATCAAATCAAACCCAAAAAAAAAAAAAAAACGAAACGAAAGCCTGAATGGAAAAAGAAACGCTCATTAAATTGAAAATTTTCAGTACCAGGGCAGAATGCAGGAACAACTCACAGAAAGTGCGGCCAAGTTGCAACAAGACAAAAACTCAAATACCATCCCAAAATAACATACGGGGGGAACACCAACTATCATGGAATACTGTCCTAAAATTGGAAAACTCCGGCATAAGAAAAGAAAAAAGAAAAAAGAAATGCAACACGCATTAGTATAATAAGTTAAAAAAAAAAAAAAAAAAAAACAGCAATTAATCATTGAAGAAACAATTTTTCCTTTTTCTCAATTTACATATTTAGCGGAAAATTGACAATCCCCAATAAACATAAAAACGGTAAATCAAAATTTAAAAAAAAAAAAAAAAAAACAGATAAAGAGTGTACTAGATTCAATCAACAAAACCAACCCAATAATACTACATTACAATGCAACAATAACCAAACCAATAAAAACCATTTTTATTCTCACACAGAAAAAATTACGAAAAGCTTCAAAATTAGTACACTCCAACAAGCATCTATCATCACCAAAACCAATCCGAACAATGCATCAATAACCAAGCCTATAAGAACCAATCTTTAATCTCACCAAAAAAACTTCAAATTTTATTAACCTCAACAACCAGAAATCAACAAAAGCCGAATAACCCAAATGGAAAAAACAACCAAATTAAAAGCAACAAAAAATTTAAAAAAAAAGTTTTGATTACCCAGAAGGGAGATTATCAACAAAAGTGAGTAACATTTTGAGCTTGGACCCTCCCTCAGAAGCTAAACCAGCATGCATCTCAACAGCCATAGCATCCACTACTTGCCTTAGCCGCCCAACTGTGGTCTCACAACTTTCTTCCAACTCTTTCAAAACTCCAACTACTCTCTTCCACTTCCTCCTAGTCCTTACCCTCCTCCCTACCACTAAAGCCGCCACCGCACACGCGGCCACCGCCACCCCTACTGCAACCCCCAAAACCACCTTCGCCATCAAATAACAACACTAATAATATAACTACCTCCCTTTATATATATCAATTAAAGTATCCATCCTCTTATCCTTTGCTACATCAAAACACCATTGTTTTGAGGTTTGATCAATCCAACGGTAAAACCGCCGCCGTTTTAACATCTGGCTTTTTTAATCTCTTTGCTTACAAATTTTCTTTACTGAAAACCCAGAAGACAAAACCAAAAAAAAAAAAAAAAACCTCTTTTGGAGGGTGTTCTTTTGATGGATAAATTTATAATTTTTCTTAGAAGTGGTTTTTTTCCAACAAGAATCGCCGGTTGTTTTTGTAAAAAACAAAAAGAAAAAAACAATTCTTTTTTCTGAAGATGACTTGTTTGGAAAAATGCTTGAAAGAGAGATTTTTAAACAGAGAAGATAAAAATCGATGTGTTCTCTTTCCTGAAGAGTCTGCTGCAATTACCGTTAGGGAGCAGGTTTTTGCTCCAGTGCAGCGCGAAATACACAAATTAGCCGCTGAAAGAGTGTCCGGCTGGATCTTCAGTGGCACGATTGGGGTTATTTGGCCGCGCCACACTTGCCAATATCCACTGGTCCTGAATGGTGCAGTGGCTTCCTTGCACCGCAGCTCCCTTCAAGTTTTCTTTTTCTAGTGCCGTAGTGAAGAAAGATGAAACGTCTGATAGCAGGACTGAATCGAGATGAGAGAAAATTTCTGGAAGCAAGAGAAAGTGTGGAAAGAACGTGCAGTGTGCAAAGAATGAAGGAGAAAGAGAAACCCTATGGGAGTGGTTTGGGTCCTACACACGTGGAACCTTTTTTTTTTAATCCTTAATTAATAACAATAGAGGGATCAAAGTTACATAAAAAAAATTATAATTTTTTATATTTTTTTAACTGATTTTAATAAATTAAAAAATGATGAAATTATTTTTTATTTATTTCTCTTATTCGTTATATTTATTGAAATTAATACTTTAAAAAATACGTAAAATTAAAAAATCTATAAGTGCATCTTATCTTTAATAATAAAATAGATTGTTTTATTAAAACGGAAGATGAAATAAATGTCAAATTATTCAATTATTTTTTATCCATTAAAATTTTTAGTTTTAGAGTAACGTTTGACAATTAAAATTTTTTAAATTATTAAAAATTAAAATTTTTAATAATTTTATATTTTATTGTGTTTGATAAATTATTTTTAAAAATTATCTAATTGAAGATTTTTAATGAAAAATATTAAAAACGCTGAATAATTTTTAGTTACGCAACGTATCATGTCAATTTTATTTAATTGTTAATATTTTAATTTTATTTAATATTAAACTTTTATTTAAAGAAAAAATGTTATCTAAATGCATTAATTCTACGTTCTTTCTTTTTCACAATTTATTCTTTCTTTTTAGCTTTTACCAATTTAAAATAATTATGAAATTATATCTTTTTTTATACAAAATTAACATAAATTTTACTTCATATTTAAATTTTAATAGCGTACCAAACAAAAAATTAATTCAATACTTAAATTTTTTATAACTAAAAAATCAATAATTAATTTTTATTATTGAATTTGTACAGTTTATCAAACAACACATTAATCTATTTAATACAATTTGTAAAAGTTAGAATCTTTTATTATTTCAATTTGATAAGGTCAATCTAATCATTAACACTTTCAACTTTGTATGGTTAATATCATTAATGTATTGTTAACTTTGCTTATGTGCTTTTGATTATATGATTTTTTTAAAATTGATATTTAAAATTATCAAAATTTAAATTTTTATTATTAAAATTAAAATTTAACAATAGAAATACAGAGCATTTTTAATCCAAAATAAAAATGTCACCGTAACTTTTTTTTCTTTCTTTTTTAACATCTCATCTTTCATTTTTTTTTTTTAATTATCATCGTTTTTCCTTTCTTTCCTTTTTGGTTACTTGGGCTTTTTCAACAAAAATTTTAACTTTTTCATAATTCTATTTGGGTTGCATTTTAGGGTTAAATGTGAAGCGAAGAGTTTTTAAGTTCTAAAGCTAGGGTTGTGTTAAACTCCAAGACTTTGAATTTTGGTAAAATAACTACTTTAGGAACCAAGCAAATCTCAATTGCATCTAACGAGCCGTAAAAATCTATTTCTTCAACCGCTTGTAACCTTTCTTCTAACAAGTTTATCTTATGTTCAAACTTCAACTCTTTTAAAGTTTCCACTACCTTCAGCCTCAGTTTCTCCTTTTTCTCTAGATCATTCAGATTGGGGATTTGAATTGATTTCACTATCTTTTTTATAAAGACAATATTAGTGAAACTTTGAAATTGCCCCTAAGTAAAATGCATATAGCATTTTTAGATAAGCATATGTTCTATGCAACGTGAACAGTTGTGAGAAAACCTAAAAGTCTGGGCTTGATATGAACCAAACCTATGAGGATACAAAGGCTCCACAACATTTTGTGATGGATGTTCATGCAAGCTAGGTGTATTTTCCACTGCCTTACTTCTGTCAAGCTTACTTAACATTTCCAATATCTTATTCAATTCCCCTTTCAGCTCTTCCTATGCCTTCTTTATTTCTTTCAAAACAATTAGCATGTTTATGCTTTGTAAGTTTGACTTAAGCTCGAGTGTTGAACTAGTGACAAATGGACTGGATCGAGGTTTTCAATGGTTGAGCTATTCTCGAACCTTAATTACTATAATTCTTAATTAGGATAGGGTATGCTTATGCAATGAAAAAAAATTTACCAAAAAATCCAATTATGTAACCACCAAAATTCACAAGTTGGCATAGAATGACATAAATTAGATGGATGCCAAAAATACTTGCAACCTAACAAGTCAAAGAATTAAATTAAATTAGCACACTTCATCATATGTGTTCATACAACATGATAAGTACTAAAAAATTAATCAGTGTACAACATATGTAAAAAAGCATAACCTAAATTTTGGGTTATTTCTATAAAGGTTCTACCTACAAGTTAGGTCCCTTAGGGTTCATTATATATATAATTTGGATTTTCAATCTAATGGTTTCCAAATTGCTCTTTACTTTAACCCATAATATATTAGTAAGACATCACAATCTTTATCCATCACAGATTACAAACAAAAATGGTTCAATTTGAATAAAAATATTTCACTAGCCTGTGCAGATGTATGAAACCTCACAAAAATATAAATATTTTACTTTCTTCTAAAGATACAGGGTCCAGGTATAGAATTATGTTATAAATATATGGCATGGATGGCAAGGTAATAAATGCTT